CCTCCTTGAAATCATGTTTGACTCTCACATTGGGTGTATTATATTATCATTCAGCCAGTGCAAGATCTGCGGCAGATATTTTTTTATCATGGTTCTCCATTCATTACCTTGTTCGAATGCTCTTTTAAAAAAAACTAGGTTTCCCAGATCTACCTCTGCCTCGTTTGCCTTCAATAAATTTTGCCAGGGACAGCTAGATGTTCAAGAACTTTATGTCTATTCAAGTGTCCCCAAAACTGCATTTGTCGTTTCCTGGTTGTTTTTAACAGCGAGCATTCCCCGTAGGCTTCTTCAAGCACTGCCTGATTTGATTTCTTTTCCTTCCAAGATATTCTCAGGAGTCTCCTAAGAAACCACATTTCTGTTGCTTCTATCAATATAATTATAGTATAATATTATAATACATGCATGTGTTTTTATAAGCAGGATGTGTTGTATACAACACGTGTTGAGCTTGGGAGGCCGGATCCAAAGTGGTTCCAGCGTGGTAACTACTGGTATGATAGCCTTGTAAATTTTAAAGAGACATTACATAAAGGAACAAATTATCCCCCCAAAAATATAAAGAATTTTAAAAAAACATTAAAATGATTTTTAACAGATATAACCCCTACTCAGCTTTGAACTCCGCCTTCTTCATATCTTTTCAAAATGTTTGACTTTGCTTTAGGAACCCATCTGCAATAAATCAATCTATCTCTTGAATTCTACCTTCCAGTATTGTTTTGGTTCCAGCCAGATTGGTCTGCGCTTTTGACATCTTCTGTTAGATCTACCCCTCCCCCCTCTGCACCGCCCTCCTAATCATAATAAAGATATACATAATTGCACAAAAATATATACCCCCCCCCCCCCCTGCCTCTCTCTCTTTCTATCTGTGCACCAAGGTTAAAACATGTATTGCATGATTATTTATTTTTCTCATCTACTACGTAACATAATATCACAGTAAGAGTGTGGCCTGTTGGAGCTTGGGGAATGTAGTTTTATTATTTTTGGTACATATAAACAGTCAACATAACATGTTTTGGAATCAAACTCGTTTTTCAAATGTGTCAGCATATAATAATAATAATAAATAATAAATAATAAATAATAATAAATAAATAGCATTTGTATAGCGAAAATCCCCACTCAACAGCAGGCTCTATGCGCTTTATACTATATTATTATTACCCCAGCAGACCATAGAACACTCAGAAACATTCTCAGTTCTTGGGAAGCATACAGTGCAAGCAGCTGAATAAGCGCTCAAACACTAACAGACTGACAAGATCTTTTGCTGTACATGTCTTTTGTTCCGAAACAAAGATTGAGAAGTCTAAAACAAAAGTTTGAGTAGAAAATTCCTCTGATGAAAGAGTTTAAGCTAGACGTTTGACTACCTAAAAAATACAAGAAACTGAAGTTATGCATTTTGTAAGAGATCTAGAGGGTAACAAGCACCCATATACACAGGAAAACACAAACACAAAACCACACACACACACACACACACACACACACACACACACACACACACACACAC